AGAAAGAATTGCCTAGGCCAGATGGGAATTCTCCCTGTACCAACTGTCTGGCCTTTGTTTGCAAACCACAGTTAAACCATCAAATGGGCTTCATGCATAGCCCAGGAGTACATTAGCAGAGCAGATGATAAAAGGTCAAGAATATGGGCTATTTAGATATAGATGAAATCTGACAGATGAAACACTAAAGTAAACTAATAAGACCAAGAGGGAACTGACATTAAAGTTTGGGTAAGAAACTGATTACCCAAGATGCTACATAAACAATGAGGACCACTATGGCTATTGAACTGTTGTTGGAAAGCAGTCATCTCCAACAAAAGTGCTCAACAAATATTGAGATCCTGACTCTTCATGGATTCCCTTATCATCTTTGCTTCCCAAATACATTAAGAAAATCAAGGAAATTAAATTAGGATTTTATCAATAATCTAGAAAATAGAATTATTCCAGTAAATTGAGTGTTCCAGTTAACATAGTTAACATTCATCACCTATAAGGCTTACTAACTATTCAAGAATTTAAAATGCTATATATTCATCAGTGTTCTCCAGAAAAAAAGCAGAACTAATAGGAGATAGATAGATGGATGGATGGATAGATAGATAGATTAGATAGATAGATAGATAGATAGATAGATAGATAGATAGATAGATAGATAGATATGGTCAGCTCTCTGAACTCATGGGGAATTGGTTCCAGGACATCCCACGAAAAACAAAATTAGAGGATGCTCAAATCCCTTATGTAAAATGGCATACACAATTGCCCTTAATATCCATGATTCTGTGTCTGTGATTCAACCAATCATGGATTAAAAATAAGTACTTTTGGCCCTCCATAATCAATGGTTTTGATCTGTAGTTGGTTAAATCCACAGATGCAAAACCTGCATATATGGAGGGCTGACTGTATTGAGAGAGAGAATGAGATTATAAGGAGTTGGCTCGCATGATTATGGAGGCTGAGAAGCCCCACATTGTGCCCTTTGAAAGCTGGAGATCTCAGAAAGCTGGTGGTTTATTTATTTTCAAAGAAGGAAGGAGAAATGATTGATTAATTTATTAAGGGTTGACACAAGAAACCCTCATGTCTCGTGTTAGGCACGAGAAAAGTTTATCTTCTTCTGGAGTCCACAACCCACTCTTGAGAACCAGGAAAACTGATGGGGTAAGTTCTAGTTCAAGTCTGAAAGTCTGAGAACCAGGAACGCAACTGGTGCAAGTCTTGATCTGAGGGAAAGAGAAGTCCAATGTCTCACTTTGCTCAGCTGTGCAAAGAGAGAGAAGTTTCCCTTCCTCTGCCTTTTGTTCTATTCAACCTGCAATACATTGGATGATGCCCATCCACATTGAGAAGAGCAATTTTCTTTACTCAGGCTACGGATTCAAATGGTGATTTCTTCCAGAAACATCCTCACAGACACATCGAGAAACAATGTCTAGCTAGCTATCTGGGCACTCTCTAGCTTAGTCAACTAAACACAAAATTAACCATCATGCTAATTATTTGAAAATTGTTAATCCTCTGGTTGTAAAGATGCAAAAAGAGTGGCTATGCTGCCTGCCTCCAAGTTACTCTCAGGTCTAATTCTTTATTGTGACTGAAAGCAGTGCAGTCTTCAGAAGGGAATGATTTTCTCCAGCATCACCTAACAGGTGAATTTAGTGACAGTTTACAGCTCCTTGTTGCTAATCATGATCTCAGAGGATACAGAATTTCTTTGCTGTCCCATTGGCATATGTCTGTGTCATCTTTAGATGAAACATCATCTTCATGCCAGCTCAGCATTTATTTTTAATTTGTTGTTTGCTGCCTTGCCCCAAGAGAGCAGAGTTTCCATTAACCAGAATGATTCCCAAGAATGGTGTTTTTGTTTTTTCTTCCTCTCAGATAAAGATGTGACTTTGAACAAGGAAGAAGTACTCAAGTTGTGGAATCATAGACCCAAGTCACAGTTTTATCTTTGCCATTTATTTTGAACACAATACTTCCCATCATTTCTCAAATCTGAAAAGTTAGCAGATAGCTAACATAATCTCTAAAGCTTTCTACACGCTCTGAAAAACAATTAAGTTTATGCCTAGGTTGTTGTCTTAGAAAAATTTAGTATGCCTATGGTGATACTAGATGAAGACTGGAAACAAAAATAAACAAGATGCAGTGCTTGCCACTGAATATCTCAGTCTGGTAAGGAAGGTATATGAATCATTAACCACAGTACGCTGTGATGAGTGCTAATCAGGGGATATACTTGATCTAACCTATTCACACCATCTTATTATCAAATTCAAAAGACTACAAAATGACTGCTGAAGGTTAGAGACTCTTTTGAGGACATAGATAACTTTTTTTTAAATCCAGATGAAACCAATGACCTTTCTTGTAGGACATTATCACAAGGTTCTAACTCCGTGTACTAAACAATATTTTTCTTAAGTGTGAGAACAGAAGAAAGAAAGGCTAGACTTTCAAGGAAGGAAAAAGTGACTCAAAGGCAAAGGCCATGATTTAATTTTTCAAAAAATTGGTGGAGCACAGTGTCTCAGACCTATAATCCCAGCACTTTTGGAGGCCAAGATGGGAGAATCACTTGAGGCCAGGAATTTAAGGCCAGCTGTGCAACATAGTGAGACCCCAGTCTCCATCAAAAAAGAAGTAATAATTTTAAAAAGTATATATATACACACACACACACACACACATATACATATATATATTTGAACACAATTTTGAAAAATAAATAATTTCCATTACCTAATACAGATCTTGGCATGATACACGTGTTCAGGTACATGCTCATTTATTCATTCACTCACTTACTCATTTGGTACATACTGAACATCTGCTATGTGCCAAATGCTATGCTGAGTACTAGGGATACAACGATGTACAAAGCATCCAAGGTTTCAGTCCTCAAGGAACTTATATTAAAGTAAAAGGTGAACTATAAACTAGAAAACAAAATATTTTGATTAGTCTTGTGAAGGAAATAAGTGGTGACATGACAGAAAACACGGAGAGGGTTGCTGCATGAAGCAGGCTGATCTGGAATAGTCCCTTTTAGAGGTTAACAATGTAAAGGCCCTTCTTGGTGCATAGGAAGGGAAGGAAGAACACAAGACCACCAGGATCATATTTAGTGAAGAGAGAGGATGGTAACAACATGACTTTGTGAAGGTGAGTAGATGAAGCATGTGTTGTCAAGTCAGAGCCTAATAACATGGCTGCAAGGGATGAGGAGAAGGGAGGTAGTAAATATTATACCTAAATTTAGTTAAATGAACTAGAAATTTAGTTAAATGAACTAAAGGAGAAGGAAGAAAGGGGGGAAGAAAGGAAGGAAGGAAGGAGGAAGGAAGGAACAAGGAAGGAAGGAACAAGGAAGGAAGGAAGAAAAGAAGGAAGGAAGAAGGGAAGGGAAGGGAAGGAGAAATAATTGATTAATGTACTGACTGCTGACCTATATTTTTGTGTTAGATATAAGAAAGATGTGCTTTTTCTGGAGTCTATGACCTAAAAAGTTATGCTAAATTCTATGATTAGTCAAAGTATAGCATTAAAAAAGAATACTCAATTAGAATATAGGCTCTAAAAGAAGCAGTAAAGCCCTTTGATGGTGATAGAATTTTGGATAATTTGGGCAGTTAATCATTTTCGCTCTGTGATTCTACAGGAATAAAAGGGAAGATTTATCTTCAAAAGTGAGTGGGATTCACCAGGTTACAAAATAGAAAAGCACATTTCAGGCAGGGATAACAGTGTGTACTGATAAATGGAGACATGAACAGCCTAGTACACACATGAGAAGTCTCCAAATAGTTCAGCAAATCTAGGGGAGAGAATGAAAGAGAAAGAGTGTTGAGAGATGAAATTGGAAAGTCAGGTGGTATCAGATCAAGTTGTGCTTTTTATGCTGACAAAGAACTTACTAGTAGTTAATGCTTCTGAAGATCCAGCTCTGCTGATATTCTGTCTGCGGCTCAAAAAAGCCAAGTTCCTTCCTGTCTCAAGGCCTTTGCAGTAATTTATGTCTCTGATTCCCCCACCCCAGAGGCTCTTGTGCTGACTCCTTCCCACCATTTGCCAATCATGTCTCGGCATAAATATCCCCTTCTTAGAAGGGATGCTTCCTGCAGCTTTGTCTTAAATTGACTCACCAATTTCTCCATCACTGTTTTGTTTTCTCCTTAATGTTTTCTATTACCTGGGATCATCTTGTTTAATATGTGTTTATTTGTTTATTTTCTGCTTTTCTCTGCTGGGGTAAAAGCTCACTAGAAGAAATATTTTCTATTTTATGTACCACTGTATTTCCAATACCTGTAAAAAATAGTAGGTGCCTATTAAATATTTGTGGAATGACTGAATGTGAAAGCATTATTTAGGGAGATACATGATCTGTCACATTTTGGAATATCAGTTTGATTGCGGTATGGAAGAATTGTATCTTCCCGAAGGACAAAGTCCTAAAGTCAGTATGGGATATTTTTTTAAATGTACAATTAAAAGTATCTTGAAAATGGATTACAAAGGTGTGCAAGGCCACTTTGTAGACTGACATATATCCTTCCAGGAGAGTAGGTTCAACATCCCTAGAGTTTTTTACTTTTTTATAATTCCAGAAAGGGATATGTCCCTTTCTGCACTTGACACCCTATTCAGAACATTACTGAAATACAAATTAGTAGAGTGATGGGAGAAATAACCTGAACAATTTATTGTTTTGTCCTGGTTGAGACTGAGTGTTGCTGAATTGGTGTGAGCTTAATGCTCATATGATACCACTTTGTGAAAGGTAAAAGTAGAATGTCTAAGTTTTGAGTCTGGGAGAGCACTTAACAATGGTGTTTAATCACCTCTTGACATGAAAAAAAAAAAAAAAAGACATCTCTTTGGCGTTTTCAATCTTGTGATACCCAATTTTATATATTTGAGAGGTTTCTGCAGTGAACTGAATGTTATTTTGATTGTTTTTGAATCCACTTTCTTTATCCTAGGCATAGTTTGAATATTGTTGCAGAAGGTGCGTTGGAATTAAAAGACCAACAGGATCCTTAGTGTATCTACGACTTCTAATGACCTGGATGGTTAGTTCCCACTTTGTCCGTCCTCTTATCCTATTCCTACCCACCACAATCCTTTGAGACATCAGCAAACACTAGGTGAGTCAACATTTTCTTCCCTTTTCTCTCCTATCCCAAAAAGATTAAATATCAAAGTCTGGCAAAAATCGAGTTGTTCATTTAAATGTCAGTTCTCAAATAATGGCCTCTCTCTCTGCCTCATGAACATACAGTCAAATTTTGTCTTTTCTTCCAAGCAACTAGGAATGGAAGAAATATTAGCTCTCCATTCCACCTAATTCACAACAATTGCTGTCTAACTTGGTGTGAGATCCAATTCTCATCTAAATGATGATTCATGTATAAAAGACATTTGAAGACTGCTAAAAATGTTCTATCAGAAGCCAAATGTTTTGTACTTCTATTTGCTTTTTGCCACCCCTCCCTCTCTCACACCCCCATCCCAAATATCTATCCCTCATAAGTATGCGATTATACTAGGGAATTAAATTGCAGATTATAATAGATACAATTTGATTTAACACTGTAGGATAACAGGTTGAAAAGAGACTAAATCGAAGTATGGGCTCAGGACAGCCATGCACCAGCCCTCACTCTTCTCATCTTAGCTAGAATGGATTTATTTTTACAGCCATCCAGTGCTAGACAGGCAGATGCAATAAATGCCTCAATGCTTGTTGTCCTGCAGGAAGGTTTGATGGACATATTTGTCCTGTGGAAATGTGACCATGGCATAGGATCATTTTAATAATGCTTTACAAATCAAAAAGCATCTCTGCTCCATAGATGGGTAACACTGGGCACTCCATGCCAGTTCTAGTGTATATAAAGACAAATGGAGCTCAGAGAGGTAGGACTTCATTTTTCAGTCTGGGCTCAGCAGATTTGCGGAGAACAGAATCTCAGGCTCCCTGCCTTTGAGAGCTCTTAATAGGGGTAATATATTCAACCTTTCACTGCCTCATTTTTTTGTGTGAAAATTAAGGATAATAATAAACCACATCTCATAAAGTTTTGTGGGGATTTAAGGAGATAGTATGGTAGAGTGATTAACATGGTAAGAGTTAACAGTCCATATATTTTAGCTGCTTAATTATGTTAAAGAGACAGCATAACCAAAAAGTAATTATGATACTGGTGATGATGATTCTCATTTTACATATCCAGAGATAGAGTATTGGTGATGCTAAGAAACTTGACTACAGTCACAAAAGTCCTCAAATCTTGTCTCTGGGTTCCAAGCTCCAAACCTTACCTTATTTCCGGGCTCCAAGGGCTCAGTGAAGGGACTGGGGGGGGCTAAATGCACCTGTGAAAGAGAACCTGTCTGTGCTCATAAGGATTTCTACTGCAAAACCTTTCTAAAAATGAGTCCAATGAGAGTTTCCAACTCTTGTGTTTCCATTTTTGTCCTCATGAACAAAGCGAGTGCACACTACAAGCCTAACTTGAATTTGACAGGAGGAGCCTCTTGTACTATTTGAGTTACTAATGGGATAGCAAACAGCTCTTGTAATTTACTTTGTACTTTGATAATGTCTTGGCTTCAAGGGTCACGCAGGCCTTTCCAAACATTAACTTATTTCCCTCTCTTTACATTTTGAAGGGGTCAGAAAAGGTTAGCTTTCTTTTTGTTTTGTGGCTGAGAAGACTGAGATTTAAAAAGGGTATGCATCCTACCAAAGTTGCCCCAGAAACTGAGTGCTATCCAATCTGCTACAATTAGCTACAGACACTGTAACTCACACAAGGAAATTTGTCCAGGGTGTTTTGCATTCTGACCTAGAACTGCCACTGAATGTTATTTGTGTTACTTTTCTATAGTCCTCAAGCAATGTGTAGAGCAAACAAGAGTATATAGCAAGTCTGGCTTCTGCAGCACTGCAGAGTTAAAAGAGCTGAATGAACAGGAGCAAGCCTAACTACAAAATGCATTAGTTCCACACAAATACAACTTATCACATTAAGAATGAGCTGGGAAGACTGATTTATTTGTTTTAGAAGCTGGGTGGAACAAGGAAGAGAGTATGTAGGCGTACGTGGACCACATTTCAGCACCTCTTCTGAATCCAGGGAACAGATTCATTCAATTAGGTATTGACTCCAGGTCCTAGTTTAGCTGGTTTCCCTTATGTCGTCTCATTTAATCATCACAACAACCCTGGTTTCTGTAAAGTGTTATGCATTGAGATGGTGGAGAGAGAAAGCCTAAATAGATGGCTTCTTTCACGTACTTATTCAAGTTACCTTCCCACTGAATTCTTCCTTTCCAGGCTGCTATATCTAAAATCATGACCTCCTTTGCACTCCTATCCCTTTTCCTATTTACCAAAAGTTAATATATCACTGTTGCATGAGCTAATATACATATCTGTGTGTGACTGTGTGTTTGTGTGTGTGTATATGTGTATTAGATTGGTGCAAAAGTAATTGTGGTTTTGGCCATTACTTTTTATTGCAAACACTACAATTACTTTTGCACCAACCTTATACATATATGTATATATTGCTAGTGCCTATTATACATTAGGGTTCCACAAATAACTATTGAATTAGTAAATGAATGTATTCATGTTCTCCTAACAACTCATGGCTGCCTTAGTAGCATGCAATTACATTTGCTATTTAAAAATTATTTGTGTGGTTGTTTTATTATAGTTTATCTCATCCTCTAGAAGGATCTGTGAAAACTGACAATGTTTTTGTTTGATTTTAAAGCATGTTGCCTGGCAGAAAGTAGTTCACAATGAATACTTTTAATGAAAAAAATAAACAAAGTAATTTGATCAAGTAAAAAACTGACATAGCAAGATTTAGAATGTTTTCATTTATTAAATAGCTATTTATTGAAAAACAGGTATTATTGCAGTCTTCGTGGGGTTTACCACCTCATGGACCCTTCTCATGCCAAATTTCAGGCTAAGCCTTTATTAAAAATCTAATGTTTAAATAAAAAGTAATTTCATTTATGTTCTAATGTTTAATTCATAGTTCAGACATGCCTTATAAATAAGAAAGTTTTATATTTGACAACTTCATTTGTCTGCAACTTCAAGGGTAAGAAGCAGAAAATAAGCCAGAAAAGCCTATTTCCAGCTAAAATAGTTCACAAGTTTGACAACACTAGTCTCTTAAATTGTAATTCACATTTCACATACTCTTAAATATCAGCGAACTACTCTGTCGTCTTAGGATCATTCATCCTCTCACGTATTTGCCCTAATCCATCTATTGCTAACCCCTACAGGTACTACAGTCAAATGCCTTTTATCTCCAACTCTGTCTTCCCATTTCAACTTCTGCTAACATATTTTAGGCATTATAGGTTCCAACCTGGGTAACTTCCTCTCTTAACTGGCATCTCTGCCTTCACAGCTCTTTTCTCTAGCACAGAATGGAAAGTTAATTTAAAAAAAAAAAAAAAAAAGAGAGAGGAGGTGAAGTTCATGTGCCAAACAAGCCCCAGTGTAAGAGAATGATACTAACTCCATTCTGATGGTGGAACCTTCTATGGCCATCTGTAGTCCAACCGAATGGATAATCCATCACCATGCGGCATACTTTCTATGGAGTCTGACTCTCGCTGATTTAGTTTCTAACTCAACAATAACACAATTCTCTGAACACTCATCCTCAAGTCATCTCTTGATTTCTAAACTTTATTTTTTAAATGAAAGATGAACTCATTTACTATGGCTTTCAAGGCTCTTTACAATCCATGCTCTAACTGGAATCTGTTGCTCATCGTTGCCACATATATTGTACTTGTTTGTTTGTATGGCTGTCTTCCTACTGGATATGTATTTCTTTAAACATAGGGTGTGCATCACTAGAGAGATGAGAGTTGCTTTTACATTGTACTCTATGGTGCACTTCATAACGGTTAAGGATAAGTGGAAAAAATTCTCCTTTGCCTTCCCTTCAATCCTTCTAATGACTGGAGAAGGGCTAAGTTTTGTGCTGGTATGCCCTTAACAACTCTTTTACACTTAATAGTCTCCTTTTTTATCAAGCAGACTGCAAATCTAGGCTTGGAGCCTTCAGCAAATAAAGTAGCTGGGCTGAATTTAGTTATATATACTGTTTTAATTGTGTTGGGTTTAACAATTACCTTCTATTTGTGGCAAATGAGACTCGCTTTTCCTTGAGACCAAAAATAATGCCTTTCAAATAAGTTTATTAAGACATAAAAGTATATGTAATTTTTAAAAATACTCTATGATAATATAGAGAGCACAAAGACATAACAAAAATACGATGGGACATTTGAATGACTGCAGTTTGGGAAATAATGGACGATAATATAATTTCTTTTCTCAGAGCAAGAAACATGTCTGTTAATTTCTCCATCCCCAAAATTCACATGTTTCACAGGCTATCATTAAACACTTGCAGGGGGAAGGAGGAAAGCTTATATTCCAAGGCCCATTATTGAGATCATGCTCAATAAATTCTCAAATCCTTTGCCCCTTTCTCCTTATATAGACATATCTTGGAGATATTGTAGGTTCAGTTCCAGACCACTGCAGTAAATCAAATATCTCAATAAAGTGAGTCACACACATTTCCTTTTCCTAGTGTAAATAAAAGTTATGTTCACACTGCGCTGTAGTCTACTAAGTTTGCAATAGCATTATGTCTAATATATATCTTAATTTTAAAAAAGTTATTGCTAAAAGCTGCTAATGATCATTTGAGCTTTCAGTAAGTTGCTGGGGGAATATCTTGCCTCGATGTTGATGGCTAATGACTAATAAAAGTGGTGGTTGCTAAAGGTTAAGGTGGCTGTGGCAACTTTTTAAAATAAGACAATAATGAAATTTGTCACATCAATTGACTTTTCCTTTAACAAAGATTTCTCTACAGCATGTGATGCTATTTGATAGCATTTTAGCCATAGTAGAGCTTCTTTCAAAATTGGAGTCAGTTCTTTCAAATCTTGCCACTGCCCGACCAGCTAAGCAGACCCAATATTCTAAATCTTTGGTTGTCATTTCAACAGTGTTCCCAGCATCTTTACCAGGGGTAGATTCTATCTCAAGAAACCACTTTCTTGGCTCATACATAAGAAACATTTT